GATGGAAGGGCAGCAGCCCTCATACCCGGCAGAAGGTGTGACCCTGGGCATTTGCAAAAGCCATCAGAACATGGCCCTCTCGGGCTTCCTGGCGGCTCTGGTTCGGGAAGCCTGGGTGAGCTCGGACATCTGAATGCATTGAAGCTGCTCTGATGATTCTGCTGCGCCCAGAGCGACAGCGCCGGCCTGGGCTCCCAGGAACGGGAGCTCAGGGGCCAGCGGTGGGCAGACGGGTGCGCTGAGGCGGGCTCACGGACGGGGAGGCTGGGGCTCCGAGATGCATCACTCCTCCCCGTGACGGTTCAGCTTTCCCTCGGAAGGCAAATTTTGAAGCACTTGCGTTTTTCCTGCGACACGGCTGCTCTGCACCAGCCCAAACTGTAACTAAGCAAACAAGCTGGATGCACACACTTGCTTTTCTCAAGTTCACACCACAGTGCTGTCCCAGCCAGGAGAAGGCCAGGGGCAGGGGATGAGCTGTTTGGGAGCCAGGACTGGGGAGTGGGGAGTCCTCAGGCACCAGGAAAATGGGAGCCTGGGGTGGGAGCGCTGACCCCGGACACCTGACCCTGCGTGGTGCGGGCAGCCCGGCTTCTGAACGGGATTCTTGTTAATTAAGTGACTTGCTCAAGGCCACACAGCTAACAGCAGCAGGGCCAGGACAGGTATCAGGTCCGCCTGACTCCAGGGTCCACGCGGGGCTCTGCCTTCACAGTGCTGCTGTGAGCAAGCTGCCAGGTCAGCAGGGTGCGCAGCTGCCTAGCAGGAGCCTGGGGCTGCTCGTCGGTGCACTGCTGTGGTCGCTGGGGCACTGGCTGTTTGCTGTCAGTGCCCCATAGCCGCTGAGACAGCATCGTGGTCTCTGCAGGACCCAGACAGCACACACAGGATCACGGGACTCACTCTTTGTTCATGAATCCTCATGCTGACAAATGTTAATAAGTACCTCCTATGTGCTCGACCCTGGCCCGGGGGCTGACCATCCAGAGCTGGAGCTCCAGGCATTATTGTTGGGGCCGGTGCTGTGGCATAGTGGGTAAAGCTGCTGCCTGCGCCGCCTTCATCCTAGATGGGCACCAGTTTGAGTCCCAGGTGCTCCACTTCTAATCCAGCTCCCTGCTAATGCACCTGGGAAAGCTGCAGAGGATGGCCCAAGTGCTTGGGCCCCTGCACTCAGGTGGGAGACCCAAATGAAACTCCTGGCTCCCGGCTTTGATTTGGCTTAGCCCTGGCTATGCAGCCATCTGGGGAGTGAACAAGCAGATGGAAGATTCTCTCTCTGTAAATCCGCTTTTCAAGTAAATGAACACATCTTTAAAAAAAGACAGTATTGTCCCCGACTCTATGGTGCCTACCGTCCAGTGCCAGATGGAGAAGTCACCAATGCGTACATTAGAGCATCAGTGTCTAATGAGTAAGGAAGGGGAACAGGGCGCCGTGAGGTGGAGCAAGGGCCTTGCTAAGAGGCGCCAGGTACACTGAGAGCTGGGGGAGAGGAGGAGGAGGAGGTGCCCATGTTCCAGGCAGAACGAACTGCATGTGTGGGGCCCCCGAGGTGGGGGAGGGTCTGGTCTGCTTAGGGGACTGAAGGCCGGTAGCGCTAGCATGACTGTGACATGAGCCGAGATGGGGGAGAAGGCAGGCGCAGCTCACGTCCAGGTCGAGGGGTTGGGGCTTCGTTCTAATGCCTCAGAAGTCACTGGGGGTGCGTGAATGGCCGAGCACCACGTGCTTCTCATGAGCTCCATTCAAGCCTGGTAGAGGATGGGTGGGAGGGGCTGGGAGCAAGCTGACCGGCCAGGGAACAAGTGCAGGAGGAGTGCTGGGCCCTGGGATGAAGCCGGCTCATGTGAGGAGGCAGAAGCCGCTGGAGTTGCTGCCAGACTGGCCGTGTGGGTGAGGGGAAGGGAATGACCGAGGCACCTGGCGGAATGACTGGGCACACAGGGCTGTCCTTTACTCTGTCAGTGAGGGGCAAGCAGCATACAAGAGAGGGAACCAGTTTGCTGGGCCAAGTTTCCAAGCTGGTGGCATTAAACTTAGGATGCTTGTGAACCATCGGAGTGGAGACATCCAACATGAGGTTGGTTCATCAAGGGTGGGGCTGGGAGGAGAGGCCTGGGAGCCAGATCTGCACAGAGGTAGCTTTTTAAAGCCCTGAGAAATTTCAACATTGTGGGGTGAGTAGAGGAAGAGACTCTGGGATGGAGGGCAGAGAGCAGGCGAAAAGTAGGCTGGAAGGCCGGGTGGAGCAGTGAGCAACCATGAGGAGGGGGCGGGTACAGGAACTGAGTGTTCTTTGGATTTAGCAATTGGGGAGTTACCGGTGACCTTGAAAGATTCACAGACAGTGAATGACGCAGAACATGCCTAGAGGGAACTGGCATTGTGGTGCAGCAGGTTAAGCCACCATTTGCAACGCCAGATCCCATAACTGAGCACCAGTTTGAGTTCCAGCCACTTTGCCTCCAATCCAGCTCCCTGCTACTGGCCTGGGAAAGCAGTAGATGATGGCTCCAATGCTTGAACCCCGCCACCCATGTGGGAGACCTGGATGGAGTCCAGGCTCCTGGCTTTGTTGAGGCTATTAGGGGAGTAAACCAGCAGATGGAACGCTTTCTCTCTCTCTCTCTCTCTCCTCTCTCATCTCTTCCTCTATCCCTCTGTCATTCTGCTTTTGAATTAAATAAATAAATAAATCTTTTTTTAAAAAAGGATGCATGGATGGATCAGTGTTGTGGCACAGTGAGTTAAACTGCCCCTTGCAACAATGGCATCTCATACTGGGGTGCTGGTTTGAGTCCCAGCTACTCTGTGTGTCTGATCCAGTTTCTTGATAATGCACCTGGGAAGACAGTGGAAGATGCCCAGGTAGTGGGTCCCTGCCACCCACAAGAGGGGCCCAGATAGAGTTCCTGGCTCCTGGTTCGGCCTGGCCCAGCTCTGGCTATTGCGGCCATTTGGGGAGTGAAATAGTAAATGGAAGAAGATCCATCTCTCTGTCTTTCCCCTCTGATGCTCTGCCTTTCAAATAAATTATTTTTTTAAAAAAAGATGCATAAAGGGGCAGGTGTTCGGCACAGTGGTTAAGACCCTGCTTGGGACATCCTTATCCTGTATCAGAGTGCCTGGGTTCGAATCTCAGCTCTGCTTCTGATTCCAGCTTCCTGGTAATGCACACCTGGGAAGTAGCAAGTGATGGCTCAGATGGTTGGGTCACTGCCACATAAATGGGAGACTTGAAATGAGTTCCCGGCTCCTGGTTTCAGTTTGTCCCAGCCCCAGCTGTTGTGGGCACTTGATGAATGAACCAGTAGATGGAAGAATTCTGCTTCTCTGTCTGTCTCTGTCTCTCTTTCAAACAAACAAAAATTTAAAGGAATTAAAAGCAGATGAGTTTGTAGTGTGTGTGTGTGTGTGCTTAAAAGATGTATAGAGGAGCCAGCACTGAGCTGTGGCACAGAGGGTTAAAGCCCCAGCCTGCAGCGCCCCGGCATCCCATATGGGCACCAAAATTTGTATCTCAGCTGCTCCTCTTCCGATCCAGCTCTCTGCTATGGCCTGAGAAAGCAGTGGAAGATGGCCCAAGTCCTTGGGCCCCTGCACCTGCATGAGAGACCTGGAAGAAACTCCTGGCTTCAGATCAGCCCAGCTCTGGCCATTGTGGTCATTTGGGGAATGAACCAGCAAATGGAAGACCTCTCTCTCCTCTCTCTCTCTCTCTCTCTCTCTCTCTCTCTCTCTCTGCCTCTGTTTCTCTGTAACTCTGATTTAAAATGAATAAATAAATCTTAAAAAAAAAAAAAAAGTTGAGCCGGCGCCGTGGCTCAATAGGCTAATCCTCCACCTTGCGGCGCCGGCACACCGGGTTCTAGTCCCGGTTGGGGCGCCGGATTCTGTCCCGGTTGCCCCTCTTCCAGGCCAGCTCTCTGCTATGGCCAGGGAGTGCAGTGGAGGATGGCCCAGGTGCTTGGGCCCTGCACCCCATGGGAGACCAGGAAAAGCACCTGGCTCCTGGCTCCTGCCAGGATCAGCGCGGTGCGCCGGCTGCAGCGGCGGCCATTGGAGGGTGAACCAGTGGCAAAAGGAAGACCTTTCTCTCTCTGTCTCTCTCTCTCACTGTCCACTCTGCCTGTCAAAAAAAAAAAAAAAAAAGTTGCACAGAGAGAAGACCGCAGCCAGCATGGGTTGGGGAGTCAGGGAGGACCACCTGAAGGAGGTGGTGTCTCAGGAGCGCCTGGAAGGCTGGGTCTGAGGAGCTAAATGCTGCCTGTGAGGGAGAGGGCGCGGAGCTGGCAGGGGAGCCAGGAGGACAGGGCCACTTCCCTCCCTGCAGAGGACTCCCGGGAGGGGACGATTACACAGCACAGGGCTCTGACACCCCCAGGCTGGCCAGCTCACTACATGTCTGGACGCTCCGAGTCCCAGAGAGAGCCCCAGCTCTCGGTGCTGGGCACTGAGCGGTCTCCAGTGATTCCCATGAGCCTCACTCTACGGGGTGAAGTCTGAATGTTTCGGGCTGGTGTTCAAGGGCTCACCCTCCAGGTTCATCCTGCCATCCCCCTGCTGCGATGTGGCCCCTGAACCCTCTGCATGCTCAAACAAGCAGTCTTCATGACAACCTGTGATCCCCATTTTTCAGAGGGGAAACTGAGGCTTAGGTTGGATAACCAGCACAGGGTTGCACCCTGGGCCAGGAGAGCACGGTTGAACGGTCCCCAGGGCTGCCTTTGCCCTGCCCTGCTGGCCCTGAGATGTGTGGGAGTCAGATCTTGTCCTGTGGCTCTCCACCACTTGTTCAGGCCAGCAAAGACTCCACTCATGGGAGTAACATAACCAATGACCCAGACGCAGGCCTACAGCCCACAAAGGGCCTCTGATGCCAGCACGCCCAAGGCCTGCAGCTGCGATCCGGCCACCGACAGCGGCAGCAGGCCTGGCACGGGACCTGGCCTCACCCGCCCCACCGCAGCCCACCCAGGAAATACCCAGCCCCTCACCTGGACACCACCAGAGGTAGGATCAGCATCTTCAACATCCTCATCAAGAGCTCTCCAGGAAACTGCAGGTAACTAATTTCCTGAAAAGGCAGTGGGGGTTGAGGTTAGAGTAGGCGATGCAGACTTCACAGCTGCCCAGCTCGTTGGCACCCGCCCGTCTCACACGTGGGCAGCAGAGTCCATGAGAAGGAACCGGTTTTGAAATCTAACAGACCTGGGTCCCAACGTTGGCTGCCTCTGCTCTTCCCCCAGATGTGCGGCCTTAAGCACTTTACCGAAGCGCTCTGATATGTTCTCCTCTGTACCATGAGGACAGTAAACACTTCGGGAGGGCCAGGCGCGGCTTCTGACGCCGGCATCCCATACTGGAGCGCCGGTCCCAGCCCTGGCTGCTCCCCTTCTGATCCAGCTGCCTACGGAGGCAAGGCTCAGAGCCCCTGCCACCCACAGGGAGACCTGCATGGAGTCCCAGGCTCCTGTTTCAGCTTGGACCAGCCCCATCTGTTGTGGCCATCTGGGGAGTGAACCAGTGGATGGAAGATTCTCTCTCTCTCCTCCTGACTTTCAAATAAATCTTTAAGAAATAAAATAAATGCCCCGGGAGGCTTACATGAGAGGAGGCCCAGGAGCACTTGGCTCAGAGCCTGGAGGAGGGTAAACACCAACCCTGGAAGAGAACGGCTGTCCCCGTCTGCACCGTCCACCTGCCTGTCCCGGTGCAGAGTCCGTCTCGGCCGGCAGGTGTGAGAGGTAGGAGGGCAGGCCTGCGTGCTGTTCCCACGTTCATTCAACCCACCTGTGCCAGGCCTCCTCCTGGGCACCCAAAAATGAATGGGGCCTGGCTCCTGCCTGGGAGAGGGTCCCAGTCTCGTTTATGAGGAGAGGTAAGCGGGCCACGGCCTCCAGTGAGCAGTTCCTCCACCTGTACAGGGACTGTGCCCCCTCCCCCAAAAGTGCTGAGGCAGAGCGAGAGTGAGGGGCGTGGGGCTGAGACTCCACTCAGTATAAGGAGCCTCTCTGCGGCAGGAGTCTCTTTCTTTCTTCTTTTTTTAAAGTTATTATTCATCTGAAAGGCAGAGTTAGAGAGAGAAAGAGAGATCTTCCAGCTGCTGGTTCACTCTCCAAATGACTGCAATAGCAGAAGCTGGGCCTGGCTAAAGCCAAGACAAGGACTCCATCCTGGTCTCCCGCATGGGTGGCGGGGCCCAGGGGCTTGGGCCACCTTCTGCTGCCTTTCCAGGCACCTCGGCAGGGAGCTGGATGGGCAGCAGAGCAGCCGGGACATGAACCAGCGCTCATATGGGACATCGACATCACAGGTGGCGGCTTAACCCGCTGTGCCACAAAGCTGGCCCCTGTGGGGCAGAATTTGTTTCTTGGGTCCATCATAGGCTGCTGGCTCCAGCCTATTCATGGATCTTTCTAGAGCCAAACCCTTGCTCAATCAGCTGTCTCCCCAGGAACAAGGTCACACCATTGGAACTTGGCAACTGAGGAGGAAGGGAGCTCTGAGCCCAGCGAAGTTTCTGAGACCACGGCAGGTGATCGCTTCCTTCCTCGTACTGAGCAAGCACCTGCTGTTACGTGACCCCCACCTGAGCCCGGTGCCTGGTTCCTAAACGCTGACGTGAGCTCCGTTTTGCTATTTCCACCACCCCGGCTCGGGGCGCTTGGAATTGTGTGAGGGATGTCACACTCTGCACTTTCCAGGGCCTTGGGAAGCCCCCTCGGGCTCGGGTGAGGCTCTGAGGTCCTGTGTGCAGCAGAGGGGCTGGGGACCCCCAGGGCAGGGGCGTGGGGGAGGAGCTGGTTTCCCTCTGGGAGTGGGTGGGGTGGTGGAGGGCTTTCCTCTGAGGCTTCAGCGGGAGACGTCTCCTCCCCCTGCTGGCTGGGGAATGCGGTTGGCAGCCGACCCAAAGGCATGCTCCGGATCCCAGACTCATGCATGGCTGAGTCCATGACCGCCGGTCCCCCAGGCCCGACTGTTCTGGTTACAAAATTCCCAGCTGTGGCTCTGCCTTCAGCCCCAGGCCTCAGCCCCATCTGGGGCAGCGCCTTGCACTTGCACAGTTCTCCCAGACAAACAGCCCTGGCATAGGCTCCTGCAGAGAGACGCGTCCACTTGCTGTGCTCTGCCGAGTGAGGTCGTTCAGCCCCATCTCTTCCCGAGCTGCCTGGTCTGTTGAAGTCTCAGTGTCTTTTTCTCCATCGTCCCATTTTATATTCTCTCTGTTCCTGGCAGTTATTTTGTTGTTGCTTTTCTTTTTTAATATTTTTTATGTTTTTATTTTAAAGGCAGAATTGACACAGAGACAGAGGCAGAGACAGAGAGATCCTCCATCCTCTGGTTCACTCCCCCAGATGTCTGCAACAGCTGAGGCTGGCCCAGGCCGAAGCCAGGAGCCAGGAACTCCATCCGGGTCTCCCATAGTGGGTGGCAGGTATGCAGGTACTTGCACCGTCTTCGGCTGCTTCCCAGGAGCATCAGAGGGAGCAGGATTGGAAGTGCAGTCGTTGGGGGCCCGGAATGGCACCCCGATATGGGAGGCAGGTGTCCCAAGAGGCAGTTTAACCCACTGTGCCACAACCCCTGTTGTTTAACCCACTGTGCCACAATGCCCATGCCCTGGTGGTTCTTATCTTTAAAAGATTCTGTTACTATGATTTGAGCAGAATTCTAGGAAGGGAACAAAAGTGGATGCAATGGTTATTGCCACAGTATAGCTGGCAGTCTGGAAATGATGGATCATTTTAAATGAAATACTTAAATCCAAGGATACAATCTTGTGTTTTTGTAAGTTCTTTTCATGGATAGAATATTTTGCCACTTTCCAAGTTGTTTATAATTTTTGCCTGTTGCATAAGGTTACAAAATAGGAAGGCTCAGTTTCTGAGTCACAGACTAAGAGATCAAACAGAGAAATCCTGGATTTCGATGTAAGATGCCGAGAAAGCCAATTCCTGCCAAATAATTGTTCTAAGACGCCACATCCTTCCTTCAGTTTATCTGGCCGGTTAAGCCAGGCCAGAACACGCTTGCATTTCCAAACAGATGGAGAAGGCGGCTTTAGCAAAGCAGCCCCCGGTGAATTTGGCCTTTAATAATAGGCCTTGTAATTTATTTTCACAAAATAATCTTCCTGCAGAAAATACATCTTTGTTGTTGAGGAGAACTAAAGAGAGCAGACTACGGATTGTGCCATTGCCAGTTTAACTCAGCAAACAGTGGAAGGTTCTCTGTGCCTAACACTGAGCGAGGCTCACATTTTGGTTTAAGAAAGCCCACGTGTTGTCCAGCAATGTGCAGTCTGGGGAAAGAAATAAGCAGGCTCACAGATGGCCCTGAGGCAGCAGCGGGGCTCTGAGGGCATGGGCGTGGCGTGAACAGGGAGGAGGGGACTCCTTCAGTTGTAAACAGGTCTAAAAGACTTTTAATAAAACATGTAAAATTTAGTTTTAGGGGCTGGCATGGTAGCGCAGCAGTTTGAGTCAGCACTTGCCACACTGGCATCCTGGGTCAGAGGACCAGGTCAAGTCCTGGCTGCTCTGCTTCTGATCCAGCTCCCTGCTAATGCGCCTGGGAGAGCAGCAGGTGGTGGCTCAGGTACCTGGATCCCTGCCACCCGTGTGGGAGACCTACATGGAGTTCCAGGCTTGTGGCTTTGGCTGTAGTCATTTGGGGAGTGAACCAGTGGGTGGAGGAGCTCTGTCTCTCTGCCTTTCAAATAAATAAAATAAATAAAACATGTTAAAATTTATGTATTTGAAAGGGGTGGGGGGAGAGAGAGAGAGATTTCCCATCTGCTGGTTCACTCCCCAGATGCCTGCACTACAGCAGTCAGGCCTGGGCCAGGCGCATGCCAGGAGCTGGGAGCCCACTCTGGGTCTCTGACGCGGGTGGCAGAGCCACAGCTGCCTGAGCCATCACCTGCTGCCTCCAGAGGCTGGATGGGGCAAGGCTGTCTTAAGTGGCATCCTCACTATCGTGCCCAATGCCCATCCCTGAAAGACTTTTGTAAGGTGTGGAACCTGAGACGCTTCCTGGTGTAGGAAGGATGCTGGGTGGGTGGGGGTGGGGGGGGCAGGTAACATCCAGTAAGCACTTACTATGGCATGCACTGTTTGCCGCTCACAATAATCCCGGCACATGTACACTGCCCGTCCTCCCAGCCATTCCATTTTACAGATAATGAAGCTGAGGCTTGGGGAGGAAGCTGGATTTCATGCCGGCATTTACTAGCAAAGTCAAGTTCAGGGGTCCACTGCCCCCAGTGTCCATACTTGTCAGGCTTGAGCTCAGTTCCCGGAAGAGGGGCCATGTCTACACCCTGAGCCCCCACTGGACGCGCGTGAGCTGCAGGAGGAAGGATTCTGTGCAACAGGGAGTGCAACAGGAGCCCCTGGCGGCCTCTCTCCTTGAACAAACTCTACACAGTCTCCTCCAAGCCCTCTTTCCCCTAGGCCTTGCCCTTGGGCCCTGCCTTGGACTTGCACGGTCTGACTACAGCCCCAAACCCTGCTGAGTAAGTTTGGTGAGAACCCCTCACTTCTGAAACCCCTTGGTGCCCCGCCCAGGTACCCAATCATCCCGGCTGCTCGCAGCAGGCATCCCCGACCCCAGTTCCGCCCTGCCCCCCACTCGCTGCTGGCTGTAAATCCCCAGCTGCCCATGTATCCTTGGGGCAGAGTCCTCCCTTCCTACCTCCCATGGGAGGCCTGACCCCCTAGTCCTGAATCAAGTCCTCTTTGCTATTTGCACAGGTGTCAGAGTCCTGTGGGTGCCTCTCCTCTCCCGTGGGAGAGGCATCTTTAGCCGAGGCCCTTACGGAGACCCCATTCCCCCTCGATATGTCCCATCAGCCGCCACATCCCGCAGGCTCCCCTTCTGGAACCTGTTCTTGAACCTGTCCCTCCCACGCCCACCCCCACTCCCCAGCCCTACTCTGGCCGTGCCTTGCCCCTACAGCTGCCCTCACTTGGCCCCTGCAGGCCACCCCATCCTCCACGTGGCACTCAGGGGTCCCTCCCGAGCTCAGAGCTGACCACATCACTCTGCTGCTCCAAAGCTTCTCATGACTGCCCCATGTCCACACTCAGTGATGGGACCCACGGGCGTGCTGGCCCCTGGGCTGCAGCCCCTGCCTCCCCTGTAGCTTCCGGCAGCCACAAACGCTTGCTCCACACCCGAGTCCCCAGTCTTTCTGCCCCTTGCCTTGCTCCCACTCCTTCCTCTGCCTATAGTGCCGCTCCTGGCTGGCTGGTTTATGGGCTGCCTGGAGGAGGTGTTGTTCGATGCCTGCTTTGAGCTCTTACAGGAGCCTGTTTTTCCTCTACCACAGCCCCCGGCCTGCAGGGACACTGACGAGGCCTCCTCCCCGCCCTCCCCCCACCCCCAGCCTGGTCATGCCATTAGCCATTTTATTCAAGTCTCACTCAAATCCTACATGGCGAGACTGGGGTTATGGCGCAGTGGGTTAAAGCCCTGACCTGAAGCGCTGGCATCCCATGTGGGCGCTGTGTTCTAGTCCCACCTGCTCCTCTTCTGATCCAGCTCTCTGGTATGGCCTGGGAAAGCAGTAGAAGATGGCCCAAGTCCTTGGGACCCTGTACCCATGTGGGAGACCTAGAGGAAGCTCCTGGCTCCTGGCTTCAGATCGGCACAGCTCTGGCCGTTGCAGCCATCTGGGGAGTGAACCAGTGGATGGAAGACCTCTCTCTCTGTCTCTACCTCTCTCTGTAACTCTTTCAAATAAATAAAATATATCTTTAAAAAATTAAAAAAATCCTACATGGCATTCATCACACCCAGGTCACAGGTGAGAAAACCGGGACCCTAGAGGCGTTGTGACTCATGACCCCCCCCCCCCCCCAGCGGGGCCCTGAGGTGCTCCAGGTGGCTGACCTGGGGTGAGAGGCGCCGGGTCCTCAGGAAGAAGCCAAGGAGGCAGCCCACGATGACTGACAGCACCGAGAGGATGAGCAGCCCGTTCCGCCGGCACACGTCCCTGCCCCGCGCCAGGATGGCACTCAGCACCATGGCGAGCCCGGCCTGCTGGCCCGGGGCACAGCACCATTCCATGCACCTGAGGCTGCCCGGGGCACAGGGTGCAGGCTGAGCACAGGCGGGCTGTCGGTCAGAGTTGCTAAGCCCCCGGTCCCAGGCCCAAGAGCATGGCCACGCCCCCCGGAGCAGCCACAATCCTATTACCGGCTGCATCATTAGGAGCTGGGAGCAGATTAGGACCTGGGAAATTAGAGCAGGCCACGTGGCCAGTGAGCAGGGCCCTGAAAGGCAAATGTGTCTCTTACACAGGGCAGGGGACAGGTCCTGGCCGGGGAACAGGAGGAACACCTGCTCGGCTGGTTTGATTTTTACTTGCGCTTCGTTTCAGAAAGAACTGTAAGACCAGTGATCACCAGGGGCCGGCACTGTGGCGCAGCAGGTTAACCTGGCCTGAAGTGCTAGCATCCCATATGGGCACCGGTTCGAGTCCTGGCTGCTCCTCTTTCGATCCAGCTCTCTGCTATGGCCTGGGATAGCAGTAGAAGATGGCCCAAGTCCTTCCCTGCACCCACGTGGGAGACCCAGAAGAAGCTCCTGGCTCCTGGCTTCAGATCGGCACAGCTCCGGCCATTGCGGCCATCTGGGGAGTGAACCAGCGGATGAAGACCTCTCTCTCTCGGTCTCTACCTCTCTTGGTAACTCTGACTTTCAAATAAATAAAATAAATGTTAAAAAAAAAAAGGACCAGTGATCGCCCATGCCCACGAAGCATTTATTATGGGCAGGTGCTGTGTGGTGGCGGGGAAGGGTTCTGTCTTGGACTCACCCCAGGGACCTGCCATTCCCAACTTCGCAGCACGGGGAGTAGAGATCGAGGAGCTGCACTCACAGAGCAGGTGTGGAGCAGAGCGGGATTCAGGCTGGGGTCGATTTCGTGTGCAGCCCGTGGATGCTTGGTTCTGCCTGGGGAATGTGGGTTTGAGTCCAGTGGGCCTGAGTCTCAACTTGGGCCGTTCACTGTGAAGTGAGAGTAACGATGCACATTCTTCGAATGTCTAGCTCACGCTGGTTCCCTAAGTGCTTTTGGGACCTGTGGTTTGCAATGAAGGTACAGCCTAAAGACCACAGCCAAGTCTTAGCTCTGCCTCTGATAGCTGCGTGCATCACCGGACAAGCCGTTACATCCCACCATGCCTCAGTTTCCCCACCTGTAAAACAGACAGAATAATAGCATCCACTTCCTTACGGCTCCCATCCAGAGAGTGTTTGTGAACGCAGGGGTGAGGCTGCCACGCTCAGCTGGGCAGAGGGCTGTTAGGGTCCTGCCACTCAGGGTTTGGGGAGGAAGGGTTCTTTTTGCTATTTCTTGTGGCCTGGCCTGCCCTTTAAAGCCAGAAGGAATTAACCCTCGTCTATTTCACCAGGAATCTTTAATCTCATTAGGGGGCTGGGCAGCCTGGAGCAGGCCTGTAGGGGGGTGGTGATGGAAGAGGGTGGGGCATGCAGGGGCGGCATCTTTGTGACAAAGGGGAGAGGAGGGGAGGAAGGAGAGGACAGGGCCAAGAGGCAGGGCAGGGGCAGGGGCAGAGCTGGGGAGGGGCCACAAGGGGGCTGAGGCCCAGGTTATGGTCATGGCCGAGGTCGCGGCTGGTCCCAACCCAATCAGCTCAGTGACTTTGTCCTCTCTGGGCCTCAGTCTTGCCGGGTTTAGAATGAGAGGAACAGGCTCAGAGCGTTTGAAGGAACTCAGTTCAACAAACCAACCTTCCGGGGGCTGCACTGGTGCCATGAGTTAAGCTACAGCCCGCCACGCCGGCATCATTTATGGCTGCTGGAGTCCCGGCTGCTCCACCTCCGATCCAGCTCCCTGCTAATGCACCTGGGAAAGCAGCAGAAAAATGGCCCAAATCCTTGGGCCCCAGTATCCACGCGGGAGACCCTGATGGAGTTCCAGGCTCCTGGCTGTTGTTGACATTCGGGGAGTGAATCAGGAGATGGAAGGTTGTTCTCTCTCTCTCACTCTCTCTCTCTGTAACTCTGCCTTCAAATAAATAAATAAACAAATAAGCCTTAAAATGCCACCTCCTGAAGCCCCTACCGTGTGCAGAGGTTTCAGGGGAGGGCAGGGGACACGGGAGGTGGGTTCAAGTCTGCGAGCCTTGCCTCCAGCTGCGGCTCTTTGAAAACGTCGGTGTCCTGGTTCACCCTCAGCTCCGCCAGGAGCCTCGCTCCCACTGCAGAGCAGCCCCCGGCCTGCTGGGGGTCCCCCACCACCCTCCTGCACACATTCTGCCACCGGCTGCCTTCCAGATCCAGCCTGCCCTGCGCTGCTCCACCGCCTTCAGCGTGGAATTACGGCTCAGTCAAGCGAAAGCCCTGCACGCGCATCCTGTGCCTCCCTTCCTGGGGGCGGGAGACACGGCAGCGCATCGGGCACAGTGCCTGTCCTCAGGGAGCGTGTAAGGAAGTTGAGAAAGGACAAGTTCATACCAAAAAGTAAATGGCCGGGGCCGGCGCTGTGGCACAGTGGGTTAAAGCCCCAGCCTGCAGTGCTGGCATCCCATATAGGCGCCAGTTCGAGTCCCAGCTGCTCCTCTTCCAATCCAGCTCTCTGCCATGGCCTGGGAAAGCAGTAGAAGATGGCCCAAAAGCTCCCAGACCAGACTCTTTAATAGCATATTGTCTATAAAATCAATGACTTTTTTATTTTTTTTGACAGGCAGAGTGGACAGTGAGAGAGAGAGACAGAGAGAAAGGTCTTCCTTTTTTCCGTTGGTTCACCCCCCGATGGCCGCCACAGCCAGCGTGCTGCGGCCGGCGCACCGCACTGATCCGAAGGCAGGAGCCAGGTGCTTCTCCTGGTCTCCCATGAGGTGCAGGGCCCAAGTACTTGGGCCATCCTCCACTGCACTCCCAGGCCACAGCAGAGAGCTGGCCTGGAAGAGGGGCAACCAGGACAGAATCCGGCGCCCTGACAGGGACTAGAACCCTGGTGTGCAGAGGATTAGCCTATTGAGCCGCGGCGCTGGCCAGTTCATTGTATCTTTCTCTCTGTAATTCTGCCTCTAAAATAA